GGGTTAGCCCCCCCCCCCCCCTACAAAGTTAGTCAAGAAGCTTACCTCAAAGAAGCTAGACCGATTGTAATGACCCGAACAGTCATTTTGCGCATTTACTCCCCTTTAAACTATTTGAAGTCTTGAATAGCTTCATATGATGTATTATGACGTGCATGAATCGTCGAATTTGTTTTCAGGTATTTCAGAATATGTTCGGAAGAATGAATTCCATGTTGGAAGCCTTAAGTTGAAATAGTTGACTAAATTTGACTTTTTAGTATTCGACCTTGGATATGAGTTTCGATGATTCCGTTAGGTCCGGATGGTGATTTTGGATTTGGGAGTATGTCTGAAATTTAGTTTGGATATTTCTAGAATGTTTTGACATCATTTATTCAAGCATAAGTGGTACCACATTAAGCAAATGAGCTCCAAATTCCGTTTTGATTGAAGCATTAGATCCGTATTGAAATTACAGAGTCATAGCAAAAAGAATCGTCGAATTCGGACATCGTATGAGAGTTATGCCCATTTTCGTGTCGGAAAAAATTGTTATTTTTCTGGGGCAGAGGCAAATCGCTGGTATCAAATACGATTTATAAGTCTCGGGAGTCAAATGTGACTTGCCTGGAAAGATTATAAAATGGGGGTTTCGGCCATTTTTAACACATTTGGAGCTAGGGAGCTTGGATTGAAGCGATATTTTAGGTGATTTTCACCATATGGATTGGGGTAAGTGATTCTAACTCGGTTTTGGTTAAATTACATGAAACTATTGTTTTTTTATCAACAAATTAGTGTTTTGGGTTGAAAATGGTAGAAATGTTCATAGACTTTAATTGAGAATTTGAAGGCCGAGTTGTGGTCGAATTTGAGTAATTTTGGTATGGTTGGACTCGTGGTTGAATGTGGGTTCGAATTTTGTAACTTTCATCGGGTTCCGAGACGTGGGCACCACTATTGATTTTGAGTTGAATTTCGGATTTTTATTAGAAAATTTATTATTTTTATATGGAATTGATTCCTAAAATTTGTGTTGATTGTATCGAATTAATTGTGACTAGATACGAGGCATTCAAAGGCCAATTCGCGAGGCAAAGGCCTATTGGAATAAAGAATTGCACGGTTTGAGGTAAGTAACATTTCTAAACTTGGAGCTGAGGGTATGAACCTTGATTGTACGCGTTATGTGATTTTTTTGGAGGTGACGCACATCTAAATGACGGGCGTGTGGGCGTGCACCGTAGAAATTGAGACTCAGTCGATTTCGTAGAGCTATATAGTTAATTAACTTGTATTTTTCCATGTATTTTTATGTGTTAAAGAAACTGAGTTGTGACCCATGTTAGAAATCATGCTTAGGAAAATGTTGGTATTATAGGGACCCACTGAGGTCATTTCTATTGTCAAATAATATGTTTAAATTGTAACTTCGTACTCAGTCATATACATTCATTGTATATCATATCTCAGTCTCTGTTGTTATTTATTGATACATCATATCATCATTTTGTGCTAGTTTCATGACATTGTGAGCCCGAGAAACTGGAGATATTGATGACTAAGTGAGGCTGAGGGCCTGATTTTGAGGTTATTGATACTATAGCATGAGAGTTATCTGTGCAACACATGAGTTGTCCGTGCAGATCCAGATATTGATACTATAGCACGTGAGTTGTCCGTGCGGATCAAGATATTGGTACTATAGCACGTGAGTTGTCCGTGCGACACGTGAGTTGTCCGTGCGAATCCATATATTGATACTACGGCACATGAGATGTTCGT